TCTCCGCGGGCTGTGAGGCCGGGGAAGTCCTTCCTTGTGTCTAGCCCCGCTTCGCTCCGTTGCCACTCACGCCAGAGCCAAGAGACTAGACACCGGCCCGCCCCGGTGCGGGGCAGTTGGGGTCTGGCCAGTCTCTCCCCAAGAGGCGGGGTGGAGTGGGGCATTCTTTCGGGGCCCTTTGCCGCAGCCTGAGCCAGCCTCCACCTTCGCTGAGTTTCCTGATGCTCGGAAACTCCCCCCACCCCCCACCCCCACCCCGCGCCACACTAGAACCATTCACATTACAGTTCATTTCTGCCTCTCAGGCTCTCCCATCTCTCTGGAGAGCCTTGGGACAGAGCATCCTGCGTGCGCGCGGTCCTGCCCGCTTCCGGCCCCCGCAGGTGTGCGGGGAGGGGGGAGAGGAGGCCCAGCCCAGAGCCAGCGGCTCCCGCCCCGGCTGCAGCAGCAGGTTCCCAGCCCAACTCAGCACTCCTGTAGGTGCCAATTTTAGCCTCTGCCACTATTCTGGGCTCCATGCCTCACCACTGGCTGAGCTGGCTGGGCTCCTCACCCCCCAGCACCACCCCCACACTGCTCCTCTAGCCTCCCTCCTGCCTCACAACTCCATCACCTTCTTCGTCACCCGTTCCACTGTTTAGGATCCGTGCGGAGCAAAGACCAGAAACAAGGAGAGGGGACCGACCATTCTAGGCTGGACGGACATTAGAAACAGAAAAGGACTTTCCCAGGGCCAGGAGGGAGGCTGGTTCCTCCAGGCTTGCACCTGCAGGGGAGACCTTACGGGAAGGCCCTAGGAACTCCCCCAGCCAGTAATCCTGGCCCGGAACCCCAGACTTAGCCTCCCCGCAGTCAGCAGGCAGGGCTGAGGAATGTACTAAATTTAAAAACAGACAACCAGAAGCCAGAGTCCCGGCCTCCCGGCTCCGCCCACTAGGGGCCGGAGACAAGGGATGGGCCCAGACCTCAGCTTTTCTCCCCGGCCTGGGGTGGGAGAGTGCCACAGGCTAAGGATGGAATCTTAAAAGGCCATACTGCAGTCTGGGCACCCAGTGGGCGGACTGTGAGGCCAGGACCGGAATCCCACGGTCTGGGAGCTCTCAGGCCCCAGACTCAGAAAAAAGCAGACCTAAGGTTCCCGCCTTTTTCTGCCTCCGCCCCCATCTCCCAGCCTGCCCCCCGCCCTATGTCCACCTCTTCCCATTAGGAGATGAGTGGCCAGGCAGGGTTTTGGGGGTGGGTACATAAACCCGTCCACCTTGAGAAACACCTGGACTTTTCCTGAGCTAGGCCTGCTGCCTGACTTAATATTCATCTTCTGTATCCCTGGGAACACCTGCAAAAGCACACCACTTGCATCCCAATCCCTCCATCCCCACCCCACTCCTATCCAGTGATACTTCCCAGATTTTCAGAAATTATTTTTTTAGATACCCCTAAACAAAAGGCAACCCTAATTTCTGCCAGAATCTAAAAGTAGCCACCACCAGAGCAGGCGTCTCTTGATCTTGGGCTGAGTTCAAGTCCCATACTGGGTGTAGAGATTATTTACAAATAAAATCTTAAGGGGCGCCTGGGTGGCTTAGTCCGTGGAGCCTCTGACTCTTGGTTTCGGCTGGGGTCATGATCTCACAATGGGATCAAGCCCTGCCTGGAGTCTTGCTTTGGGCTCCACGCTCAGGGCGGAGTCTGCTCAAGATTCCCTCTCCCTCTCCTTCTCTCTCCCCTTCTGTCCCCCTTTATTTATTTAAAAATAAAATAAAATAGCTCATTTAACTTGACAAATGTGTTCCGCGCACCTCCTGGGTGGAGAGGCCATCCCAGGCAGGAACCTGGTGTCAGAGTGTTGGCAGTAGATGGACAGTTAGAGTCCCAGGGATAGCCAGTCCCAAGAGCTACAGTGCCCACGAGTGTGTGTTCTTTTCACGGCTCTGGGCCTTGTATATTCCAGGACAGGATAGATTGAAGCATGACTGACTCCAGGGCCCATCCCTCCCAAGATGGTGGAAGAAGGGAAGAGAGGGGAAAGCGGGCTAGGTGAGGTTTGTTGACAGGCGTGTGAATGTCAACTCTCTGGGTCTGCAGCACAGCCCCGCCTCTGAATAGCTGGGGGACCGCTAAGTTATCTTGTCTGCAAAATGGAAATTGAAATACTTATCTTTGCCAGAGTGTTATAAGAATGAAAGGAGATGACCTCTGGAGAAGTGTTTTGTCCAGCGCGCTGACTCTAGTCAAATAGGAAGGAATAAGGGGCGCCTGGGTGGCTCAGTTGGTTAAGCGTCTGCCTTCGGCTCAGGCCATGATCCCAGGGTCCTGGGATCGAGCCCCGCATCGGGCTCCC